ACCTGGCTCATCTCCACACCTGTCCACAATCAGCTCATCAGTGCTCAGTTCAGGAACCCCAGCTCTCTTGCCATTCATCGCCAGATTAACTCTGTGGTAGTGTGACTCTCGGCCAAACAACTCTGATGATTTCTTGTGCCTCGCCTAACTTGGTTTTTCTGTGCCTCATGATTCCAGTACCAGCATCTCCATCCAGCCACCTACCCACCCGCAGCTTCAGCTCAGCCATCAGCCATTATCCCCGCTCATCAGCCTGCCTGCCTGCCTCCATCAGCCCCACAAAAACCCTTTTTATCCATCCAAATATTCTTGAATAAATAATCTTACCAAACTGCTCCCTCGGAGTCTGTGTTTGTTTCTTAGTTTCTGGTAACAATCAGAGTCTTATAAGAAGCTCAAATGAGATTTACATTTATGCCAGTTGTGATTTTTTGACATAAAAGTGATTTTCAACTAATAGTTATTGCTTATTATTGTATTACTTTTACCAACTAGGCATTAAGAGACTTTAGGAACTTATCTCAAGTCAGTCACTCCAAAAAACTTACATTCTCTCCATTGCACCTACTTTTTTTCCAGTACAGAAACCTTATGCAAGTGGCAGAATCAGGCTAAGTGAGGATAGATGGAACTGACAGACATTACTTCATTCCTTAGACCAACTAAGCTGAAGCGTCAGTGAGCAACACTGACATCACACCGGAGCTACACTTCAAGGCTGGAAACCCTAGCGTGTGTCCTGGGGTCAGTCAAAGACGAGGAAATATCTTCCTCGTGTAATGGGCGAGCAGCTTCCTGTTAGTGCACAGTCTCCAAGAGGTGCAACACGCGCTTCATCATATGACTGTGTTAGTCCATCATTACATCATATGTCACTACGTAATCATCATTCATGCTCTTCTGTTCTGATCCTCATTAGTGCCGTCAGTCAAACCATATTATCCTAACTTTTAGGTTTCAATTAATGGAGCAAACTTACATATTAAATATTAATATCACTTGTAATTATACTGTATTTCCTTGCAAATTCCTTGAGACATTCAACAAAACAAAACATCCCTCCAGTAGTGAGCTCTGTACCTGTCCTGCCGATGCCATTTTCTACAAGGCAGCTGTGTTAGTGGTTGGTGGGAGCAGTTAAAGTTTATGGATGGAGACAGAATGGTAGCCAGTGGTGGCATCAGTGCGCCACACTTAGAGTCAGAAATGGTAGGCAAATGGCTTTTAATATGTTTTGTAGATCGAGAAATTGTACAATTTTGTGTATACTATGTTATTGATTATTATTATTTAATGAAGCACCAGGTGGTAAACTGGAAAAATGAAAGGAAAAAATTAAACACAGTATAAAGTAATCTGATTGACAATGATTGATCCACATTGTCTTATAACAAATATTTAAATCTAAAGTTCCTCAGAATTCAGAAATTCAATTCAACACTTATATTGTCAAAATTGAGAGTGTGGAGAAACTAGAGTTCCTAGAGTAAACCCATGCTGACACAGGGATAAAGTCTATACAGCAACAAGAGTCTGCAATCATCTTCTGAGGGTGGCCAGTAACCATGCAGCAAAAGCCGCAGTGTGCAGCACATCCCTTCACAAACTGTGGAGGGCGCCTTTCTTTGAAAAACCAAGTCTTTGATTTGCACCTCCCAAGACTGGACTATGGCTGTGTCGACAACTGGATCCTGTACTATAATTACAGTCTCCAGGCGATTACGCACAGCCTTGCAGACTTTCTTGGTGCTCTTGATGTGCAGGAAGAAGTCTTCAATGTCAGCTAATCCCTCCATCGTCTGGTTTACAAGTCTCTCCATGTGGGTGACCCACTCCTCCTGGCTGCGTTTCTGGAGAGTGTGACACTTGGTCAACGCTCTCGTCGTCAGCAGGGTAACTAACAACCAGAGCTTATTCCCCACTCTCTGCCTCGGTTGTAGACTCACAAGAACCAGAGGCAGAAGAATCAGCAGACTCCTTGGAGGTTTGAGGTTGGTCCACAGTGACCTCAGATTTGTTTTCCTTATCTAGGATTGTCTCTGGTGTATTTTAAGATACAGCACTTTTTTCTTGTTCCTCTTTATTTTCTAAGACATGTACTGGTCTTGTCTCTGCTGTGAATTTTAATCCTGAATATGGGAAACTATGTGCTTTGATGTGTTCTTGAATCTCATTGTACCCCGGAAATTACACCCTCCCATCTGTTTGTCTGTCAGACCCAACTGGATAGCGCAAACTGTCCATCTTGATATTAAGTTCAGTAAAAAAGTATTTGTACTACATGTTCTGAGCACCTCTTCAGTTGGACCACACCATATGGGAGGAAAAATCCCCAATCCTTACTTCATGCAAAAATGCATTAATTAGTTCAGGCGAAGTTAATATCTTCAGCAGCTGTATTATACATCATTTATGGAAAATAGAGAGGGAAAGACTGAGATGAGATAAAGTTGAAGCTACAGCAAGAGTTTGGGAATGACAACCATATTTCCAAAGAATAGTAAGTCCATTGTTCTTTCATTTGTGTTGACTAAAACTAGACAAAAACTATTAATAATCAAATGACTAAAACCAATAAAGATTTTATCCAAAAGCTAAATTAGATAAAAATAACTAAATGAGGCACAGTGGTCAAGCTAAGAAAATGTACATGGCAGGTTTTGGCAGGGGGGCATATGAGGGTGGTGTGCTGAGGTCCCCACTGTGCTCACAAAATTATTATTTTTTTTTTCCTTTTGTGTGGCTCATACAGCCACTGGCTCACAGTCCTATGCCACCATCTCTGCATTCCTTTGGCATGGTGAGAGAGCTGTGTGGGCCCACTTGGAGCCAGTGTTAAGAGATATGAATTGCAGTCCATATCCCACAACTTTTTACATGTGATGAGGTCCAGTCCAGCTTCCAGCAGATGACCTCGAACTTCTCTGAGAAGTCCCATGGAAAAGGAGCCCTGATGGAGTTTGACAGCCACCTAACAGAAAGAAAACTGGACATACATTTCTTCTGGCTGATTGAGGAGGACATCATAAGATATAATGAAGTGCTCCTTGAGGTTGTGTCCCTGTAAAGGGAACTTTGGGGATGCACCAGGTCATCTCCACTGCTATATGTATACATATATAAACAAGATGCAGTCATCTATAAAATTCACTACAGATGACAACAAAACCACCACATTTGGCAGTATATTATACTATGTGTGGTATCGTTTCTTTATTGTTGACACATTTAGAGAAAGTGGCATAGATGTATATTTTAAATAAATATGTCAAATACTGAAATACGTTTTATGTGGTTAATAAATATTATAGATGATTGCAGCTTCTTGCCTATCATATAGTGACCTACTGCTAGTGGCTAGCAGCCCACAGTGACATACATTCAGACATTTTGTATTGTATTGTTGAATCAATGATAAAGTCAAAGAACACCAAAGTGGACTGAAAAAATAACATGAAGGAAATAAAGACCAGAATTAGGTCAGCCCTCTGTCAATCCTGCCCCATCTCCATAGGGTACAAAGTCAACAGTCACATGTTTAAAGCTGAGGGACAGCCAGGCTACAATCAGTTGAGTTTTCCAGATGCAGATGATTACACAGCACATTACGTTGAATACCAGCACTAGGCAAAATAATTGGGCTACATATTAATGGAAAGTAATTTTGGCCCCCTGGCCTCACCTTTCACTGAGTGCCAGTTGACATGCAACAAATGAAGGGGCCACATCACAGACACTCAGCACTAGCTTTAATATTCCCCAGAAAGATCTGGTTTTCTATGGTTTGTTTTGAGTTGAACTTTCTTTTATTAGGGAGTGTGCATGGTGCTGAGTCATATTTATGTTTGTCATTTTAGCGTGGCACTACGATGAACTTAACAAAAAAAAAATGTCCACCTTCTTTCTTTTTTTGTTAATCGCACATTTAAAAAGAATATAGGAATGTGAAGCATACATGGTCTAACAACTTTAATTGTGCACAAATAGGAAAATAAAAAGATATAAATCCCTGTCTGGGCTGTTTTGGATTTAACTGCATAACTTTAAAAACCTGCATTGATCTGTACCTGCACAAATAAACCAAATTAAATCAGTTATTCCCAGACACATACTCTGATGGTAAGAGTAATGGGCTCTTTTGATACACAGTCGAGAGTAATATGAGAGTAGATAGGACCCTGTCAGTGGCATTACAGTGTTTACCCACACGCAGTTGACTTTCAGGATCCTGAGGTTCATCCTGTTATCGTCCAAGGGTCGTTTGCCTTTCAGTAGTCACTAATAAATCTAGAAAGCTTAAGAATGATCATATATTTTACTTACGGGTTGCTGTTTGCATACCTTGCTTTACCTCGAATCTTACTTGGAGATTTGGTTTTCCGATGTCCAAGTTGCACTGCAGAGCATCTAGTTGCGTGTCCCAAAGTCACAGCAGAATGTCCAGAAATAGTGAGGGAGCCGGGTTGCGGCTGCTGTCCAGTGTGTGCCAGGCAAGAGGGGGAGCTTTGTGGGGTCTACACGCCAAGGTGCTCCAGCGGCCTACGGTGCTACCCAAGCACGGAGGCTGAATTACCTTTGCAACAGCTCATCCAGGGTTTAGGACGATGTGGACAAAAAGTGGAGATGGATGTCACAACAACTCTGGACCAAGAGGCTACAAATGGTAAGTTCTTTTTAGAAAAAGTACTGAAAAGGTGAAAGCTGCTCAACAACATTTTATATTAACAATGGCTTAAATGGCTGATGGCGTGTAACATATAAGAAGTCACTCAGTGATCATTTTCACCTGATTTTATAGCTCCTGTCAACTCTACTCACTGCCCACAAATTTACTGTTTTGGTTCAGTCTCACTGCTTTCATTAACATTGTTTTCAGGCAACTGTTTTTAGCAAAAGATAAGCAAAAATACACCCACTATATGTTAACTGACAATAACTACAAGTTAGCAACTAGCCAGTAATTAGTTAAGATAGTGACAATTAGCAACTTAAGAGCTAGATTTTTCCCATAGGAGTTGGTGGAGACCAAAACAGAGCTATATGTATCTGTTTGTTGGAATTAATCTTACATCCACCATCAGGAGGCCAGAAATAGGACTCCAAATGAATGGTTGTAGTCCATATTAAAAGTTGGATGCAGGCAACCCAAGGGCTCTTTGACTCACTCTCAAAGGTGGTTAGCTACATTAATCCGGTTTTAGTTACTTAAAAGTAACTTGATATACGATGGGGGGATGCAGTGCTTTAACTATTGCTTTCACCCTTTCCAGTGTTACTTGACTAACAGTAACAGTTGTAAATTTTCCGTTTCCCATCCAAATTGACTAACTGCCAAATATCTACTCATATGGTCATAATACATCATTGTGGTTTTTCAAAGGATCCTTTGTCTTAATGGGAAATTACATACAGACAATAAACTAAACATTTAAGATGTAGCACAGAGATAAAAATCACACAAAAGTAGATAATGACTAGCAGTTTCTGTAAGACTAAAAATTTTTTTTTGACTGCATGACAGACACTGTTACTGCTTTCAATAAGCTAGTAAGTCTGCAACTCTGATGAAAAGATGAACATCAAAAGACTACTCCGAAAACTAACTATAGAACATCCTGTAACTTTCTTTGTGAGTGGAAGCAATAGATGCATTCTCAGAAAATTTAGCCTTTGTTTCTGGTAAATGTTACTTTATCAGAGGCGTTGATTTATGGTAATGATAGTGTTAGTCTTTAACAGTGCAGCCACTGCTTAAAGTGGCAGAGCACTACTGTATATGTGTAGAGTCAGTAGTTTTTGTAAATTGGAAAACTGGTCCTCTGCAAAGTACTTGGATACTGTAATTTAATACAAACCCACCCAGTATTTTTAAGGGAGTGTCATATATCAATTAATATTATGAAAATGTGCCAGCTAGTTTTGAACTGTCATCATACCTGGGCATGATATTAAAACAATTAGCTTCAAGTGAAGAAGTTTCATGGAGTCAAAACAATATTTTCACTGCAGGACTCTTTTTATGTCAGAAAAACCACATCTACATCAAACGTATTTGGTCACAATAACTACCCAAAATAAATAACCCAGAAGTCCTGCGGGGACAAAGAAATGTCAAGCTTTTTCTCTCCCACGTTACAGTTATTAGGGACAAAGGGTCACTATTGATTCCTGAAAATGAATTTTGACATATGCTCAGTGTTTGGCAGGCAGTGAGAGGCCAACATCTGTGAGCACAAACAAGCAGTATCCCTCCGATGAACCCGTAACATGTCTGTAACCCACAGACCCTCAAAGTTATCCTATTGGGAGTGTCTTATTTTGATGCAGGCTGTTGTTTATGGTAGTTGAGGGAAGTGATTTTAAAACACATTTAAAAGTATAAAAAATGTACACGCATATGAATGATGAACACCACAGACGCCCTTCGGTGTTGGGAAAGTTGCAGATCTCCATGGTAACAGGTGCAACCCAATTTCTTAATCAAGCTCTTTGTATAAATATGCATCTTAGGTGAACTCTTCATGGACCGAAATATTTTCAGACAATAAAAGATTCAACAGAGACAGGTTTTTTTCTGTAGGAATCTTCATTTGTTTTTAAGACTTTTCAAGGTTTTGTTGGGAGAGGGTAGTAAAAACAAACCCAATTCCAGACCCTGTAACTTTAGCTAAGCGTGATGGACTTGTCTGCGCTCCCTTATGTGATTTACCGTCTTTGGTGTTCAACCAGTTAGAACACATGAAGGAAAAGCTGAAAATGAGCATCCGATCAGACTGTGGTTTGCCCTCAGTTCACTGTGTTATTCTTGGCTTTTTTAGCATGAGCAACTGCTGGCTATCAGATGTCAACATCTGTCTCCTTTGTACCCATTAAAATGCACATTTTGGGGTTGTTTCCTGTAGTTGGTTGAGATTACATTCTCACTTCCAAATAACCAGACTGCTGTTCACTTGAAAAGGAAAAGAGACTTGCATTTTTAGGCATTTCGTTGTGGTTATTTGATTTGATCCTGAGTTCAGATGGCATTATTCTCACCTGTCTGTACTAAACTGAAGTACACAGATGACGGCCTGAGTAAACAGTCCAGAGTTCAAATAAAGCGCTCCAGCTTTGTCTGGTATTAGCACACTCACCCCCTTACAGTTTTGACTCCCTCTTTTATACATTTACCACCTTTGCTCCTCCTACTACAGCAACAGGACTTTTGCAAATCTCCAATTGCAAAGTTGACAGAAAACAGCAACACCGATTTTTTAAATCTATGGTTTGCTAATAAAAGCTCCAGGTCAATAATAAGCCTTTTTCACCACAGATATTCTGACTTGTCAAAGTAGGAAAAGTACATTAATAACATAATGCCATTGTTGTTGTGTCCCAAAAAGTCATGGTAGTGTGATAACGACCCAGCTAAATGTAATTCAGCCTTTGCTGATTTATTTATTCATCTGTGTTTTTACTGTGACATGGGAAAGTGTGAAGGCACTGGGGGATAATGTATGTATGAAATACATACAATTTAGGAGCCAGAATTAAATTGAAAATACCATCTTATTATGTTGATCATGTACTGTTACCATGGAATCAAGGAATGGGAGCTGTTCTACAGTAACTTTGACAAGTTCAAATTTGCACAGTGTGAGTGCACAATCCAAAGCCAAATGTGTCTTTCTACATATTGGTCTAATATGAACTTAAATTTAAATCCAGTACCTATATTCAGTACCAGTTATGTAACCACAATATTTCCTTAGCATTAATCCTAAGTGCTTTTAACTATACATTAACCATAGTTTATTTGCCATAACCACCTAACCTTAGCCACACTGTAGTTGCCATGTACAGATTTGTGAGAAGAAAGACTTTTGCAAATGTCATTGAGACCACCAATCCTCCTTTGACAAACCCTACTGTCCAATAATAACTGCCCTGTATGATCCCTTTTTGCACTTTTATTTGTGCATCTCTGTCTCTTTATCTCTCCTTTTTTTGTTGTTGTTGGTGGTCGAAGGCTGCCCTTGTTGCCCTGCAGGTGATCTTCTGCTGAGACATGCTACTTCTTCTTCACTCACACTCTCAGGTCTCTAATTACTCCATGTCGATGTGTGCACACAGTATGTGTGCTGCACACATCTACAGGAAAAGGTGAAGCCATAAGAGATCACTTTGGGTGGGAGCTGCATGTTGGTGCCTGCAATTCTGAGAAAACTCCCCCTGAGGTGTAAATCTTAAAACAGTTCATGTTGCATGATATTATTACATTAATGATCCAGAACCTACTATGACAACAGGCTTACTTAAGTACAAATCTTGATTCAGAGTGATTACTAGTTACTTTTCAGATTAAAGTCTAGTTTGTAACATTTAGCACAATCTACTGGCAGAAATGGAAGATAATATCAATTGCTATGTTTACATTAGTGTGCACAATCACCTGAAAATAGGAATTGGTGTGTTTTTGTTAAGTTAGAATGAGAGTTTTGTATTTACAGACGCCTTCTGTGGAGTCTGCTGTGTTGAACTGCAATGTTTCTACAGTAGCCCAGAATGAACAAACCAAACACTGGCTCTTGATAGGTCAGTTTATGTTTTTCACATGTTTCACAGCCACACTAGTTTGTCTTTCGTGCTTGGAGAGGGGGGGTTGAAGTGAGGGCAATCTGTAACTACACCGCTGAATGCCACTAAATCCTACACACTGGTCCTTTAAGATAAAAAAGTTATCCTTATTAGTAGTGATTTGTCCAAAAAGAAAAATTGCATAAACCACATGCGCCAAAATACAAAACAGAAAAACATAAGCAACACGCAAACATAAAAGATATATAGTCATTGTTTCTCTGCACCACAATACCGGACAGCCATTTGGAATTGTATGTCAATCTATACTATGAGCACATATGTTTATGGTACAGAATACATTTTATAAGAGAAAATCACCTCGACCTTAGACTGCACTTATTGTCTGTTAAGTCTGACAAACACTGTAGCAGCGCCAATTGGCCACGACTTTTCCTTTAAACTACAAAGGCAACGTCTTTTGGTTAGGATGACACACATGGCCACATAGAAGCATAGCAACATCAAGAGTTGAAAGAACTAGCTAACCGTAAAAGGTTTGAAGGGGACCTCTGGCTACGCAAAGCCTTCTTCATTATTCAATTTCTTTTTGTCTGTTTTCCAGCTGTAAAGTGTTTGAAGTGGCCGAGCCTTGAGAGGAACCATTTACACTGACAATGGTTTGAAGTACTGTAAGGCCACTTTCTTGGCAGTGGAGGCACAGTGAAGTTTTTGAGAAACAGCATCACTGTGTACGATAACAGGGCAAATACATTAATTCTAAGCAACCCTGGAAAGACATTACTCATTCTGTGCTATGAGAGAATTGTGAAAGCATTGCTCAAAGGCAATACCTAAAGCCAACACTCCCAACAGCTCGAGACAGGTAGTTTCTATGGCACTGAATACAGAATCAACAACACAGTATTTAGATGACAGCTGTTGGCTAAAGACGTGTTGTTTTCTTTTTCTCCCTGGAACATGCTGTCATGAGTTCCTATACAGTAAGTGTATAGAAAAGAAGGTCTTAAACACAACTACAAAAATAAGTTGGGGTTTTTAGGCCTTTACATGTCTTTAATTGCACTTCAGTTACCTTTTTAACATTGCTGCTCCATTGAGTGCTGCCTTTTGAAAGTGTCAATGCAGTGTACCAACTACCGGGGAAAGGAAAACCATATCCCTTTTCACCATGTTCTCTTCACCATTTGTTTTTAGAGCAACAGACTTAAATGAAAAACGACAAGTTCTCTCTTGAACATGTTTAATGTGTTCTGCAGACACTACATGTGAGGGATTCTTCCACTGTTTATGAATATCTTAAGACAACTTGGACCAAAACTCTGAGCTTGTGTGCTCAGCTGGAGTTTGGAACTTCTGACTTTTGGCCATCGCTCACATACTGTAAAGAATATAATTTGACTTATTGAAGGTTTTGTTTTTGGCCACACAGTTTTTACTGTTTGTCTGTGTTGCCTTTGTAATTGGATTATCAGATCTATCAAAGACCTTTCCCTGTGTGGCCAGAGTCAGAAAACAAAGGAAAGGTATGTTATAATCTTCGGTCTACTTGAATTTAGGCTCATTCCAGCTTTTTGGTCCAGGTTAATGCCGAAGTTCCACCTGACATGGCTTTATGACATTGCATCTGGCCCCGTCGTCCACCCGTCTTCAAATCCCAACAAGGGCATTTCCGTCAAAAATTGACTAGCCGCATATTCTCCGGGGAGCAGAGCGGAGAGACACTTTTAGGACAAGTCACAGCTGTGCCTCTGGTCACAAGAGGATGAAGCCTTTTCCTCTGGCGCCAACATAAGGACATTTTAGTTTTTTGGTGAAATGCATTTGGATGGATTGCCATGACATTAGTAGAAATATTCTAGTGCCCCAGGGGTGATCCCCTGAACTGATCTGGTGGCATCATAAGGTCAGAATTTCCATTTCTCCATTAGGTATTGTAGTATTGGAGAAATACCTACAAAACAAGTGATGTATGATGGTCATCATGCAGTTGACACTATGATAGATCACCTAGAAATTTCATAATATAGTTTCACCGTTTCACAGATTTTTTTTCAGGGTAAAACATTACTTGTTTTAAATCTATGGTGCAACAACCTCAGGTTCAGAGTTTTTTTTAGCTTGAGGTTGCCTTAGCTTGCAATTGCTGGATCTGGTCACTGGATATAAAACCAGTTAAAAATAATTAAATAATCTAAATGCCAAAAAGTTGGTGCCTTCTGAAAGCACCAACTGTGAAGGGTCCTGTGCTGCTTGATTTTAAAAGTGTATTTTAGTGTCTTTTTAATAGAATATTAAAATTGTATTTTGTTAAAACAAATGGAGCGAAGCCTGTGAGCTAGTTCAGGCAAGTCAACTCAAGAAGCGTGGATATACACACATGTACATGCCATCACTCCATAACACTAACCAAAGCGCTCCCCTTCCAAATCTTGGCGGTCTATTTAAACTGCACAATTTCCCAGCTCTCCCCTCTGCTCCTAATCAATGCCGCTGTTGCCCTGTATCCGTATTGCCTGCTGCCGCTGCTCCTGTAAGCTATTGCTGCATGCTGCTCTGTAAACACCACCCCCATCCACCCAGCATCCACCTGTATGCTCAGACTGGGGTATATGGTATTTGCGTATGACTTCCCATATATCCTATGTAACATATCTTGCGGGGAGTGTACTTAGTGTCAAGCTAGACGCAAAAATCATATATATGCTATACTGCTTTAATAAATATTATCAAACGTGAGTTGGCTGACTGAACTGAAGAGAAAATCTGCCAGTCTTTTAAGACAATTTTACATTTCCAAGTGAAAGGATGTGTCTTATACAAGATGGGACAGCAAACATTTGTGTTCCCTTTCAACCCAACATGCAATATGTGAAAATAAATAACATTTATCTTTGGTAACACAAATCTGTGTTGCTCAAAAGAGTAATTTCTACAAATGTGCTCATTTTATTTTCACAGTTGCTACTTGACTTATAAGACAAATGTTTGTTGCAATGTAAAAGCCACACTTACTTCATACACAGACACACATGAACACGCACAGAAACATTTCAGACAGTGTCATAGCATGTGTCAGAGCATTCACTTTAACATTCACTCGGAGGGAGGCATTTCCCTCTCAAGCGTGATTTACTACCTCTGCTTTTGCTCCTGTTTTTACAGCGCTAATTACAGACACACACAGACACACTCTCACACAAACACACACACACACAGAGCCTCTGGCAGTTAGGTACCCAAAAAAATCCTTACTCAGCACGAAAAGGCTTCATCAGAAGTGCTTCCTCACGAGTCAGGACTCACCACCAATGACTAGCAGTCAAGCTCAGCTCTTTAATTCAGTCACCACTTTCGTCTCAGTTTTCCTGTTGAAATGTGTCAGACAATCTCGGATCATTATGTCTGTGATGACTATGATGATGAATGTCTATACAGTTTTAACCCCCTCCATGTATTTGTGTTTTACAGTCATATTCAGTCATTCATGGCACAGAGTAGGACTGATTTTTAGGACTGTATTAATTTGCCATCACTCTTTGTCTGTGTCTGTTCTGAATTATCTTGTTAGCTTGTTGTTTGTGTTTTGTCTTGTCTCCAACAAATGATGAACATACTTTGGTATAACAAGCAGCAGGAAACACACTCAGAGTGACCCCACTGCTCAGAGGAGACCTGCATGTGCAAAACTGCAGTCTGTCATAAGCCAGAGTATTATAAACCTCAATGGGCTGGATGTATAGCGCTTTGCTGTTTCACAGAAAGGATCTTAGCGGGAATGCTCACACTGTCGCCATAGTAATTACAGCCATTGCAACGCCTGACTGTCCAGCATAGAATAAAGGACATGAGGTATGAGGGACACAGGATGCCTTGCGGACACAGAATGACTTTGTCTTCTAATTCCAGGATTAAGATGACTTGTAAAAGGCTCTGTTGTTTGGCTTTTAATAGCCGCTTGTAATTAAAGAAAAGATAAATGTAGATGAATGTCTGTGAGTATTTTAGAAAGCAGCAGAGGTGGTGAGGCAGTTCTGTGTGTGTGTGTGTGTGTGTGTGTGTGTGTGTGTGTGTGTAACATCTGTCTACTACACACATAAGAGACAGGACACAGATCAGTAGAAGTATTTCTGAGAACCTCTGAAGTATTGAATGTTAAACTGTGATGAAAAACAGACATTTTTACTAAAAGGTTGAAATAGCTTTTAATAGCTTTCTTTGGACACAAACATTAGGTCTGTTTTCAAAAAGACTTGATATTCAGATTTTATGTACAGATGCTGCAAATTAGTACCATCCACTCACAGTTGCCACCCCAAGCCAGCTGCCAACCGGATATATCCATTCATTCCATTCAGAAAAGCAAATGCCTGTCACGGACCAGGCAATGACTGCTTCTAGACGGATGTATCTGTAAGTGAATGTCTAAGTATGTTTTTGTCCTTGTTTGGTTGTAGAGGTGCATGGAACTGAGAATCCACTCACCAAACGACCTGCTCCTTGGTCTTGGCATGAGTACGCCATAATACAATGCCAGAATGAGCGCAAAACCAAGATGAAGTTGAATCAACTAGAGGACCCTCGAACCCAGGAAGTACTTCAGGTCAGAACTAAACCTTCAACCATTTTTGAATTACCTTTAAAAGTTTTCTTTTTTTATGTTGTAAAACGTTCAAAATACCCCTTATTTGATTAAAAGTTATTTTTACTATCATGTGGTCTGTTTAAAATCATGTCAAAGGCAAAAAACGAAGGTGCAAGTCAGTAGATTTATTGGAAAAGTGCCTCACACAACAAGATTAATCCACTGGATCGGAAATAAAACAAGTGGCGTGTCCTTATTGTAAAAATACATATAATTTCAACACCAGGCTTTGTTTGTATGGATCCATAACTGACACATAACTGACACATTTAAAGTCTGAAGTAGTTGACTATAGTAGATAGTTTGAATTTTAAACCTCCCTTATGGGCCCATTAGCGCATACTAAACAAGATCTTAAAATTATGGATGAATGTAGGGCCCAATTTGCTTGCTAAAAATGTTTTTAAAAAATAATTTTTTTCCCCGCTGCAGCATCTCAGTTTACATTTTGTGTGTAGTCTTACAGATTATCAAAAGTAGACAGTGGCAAAAGGTCAACAAGCTGCTGTGTGCAGTGGTACAGTAGTGCCCTCCTCTGGGCACTCTTTCACTCTAATTATGCACGTGCATAGACACACACACACACACACACACACACACACACACAAACTGACATCACATGGACTTACATTTATTCCCTAGGGACCTGCCCTCATAACTACCACAGGTCTAATCCCAAGTCTTACCCTAATTTAACCCTCACTTTAACAAGTTTCAACCAGATTTATGTCCCCATTTAGGAGATGAGTCCCTGTAATGTGACTGTGTGAGCTGATTTTAGTTCCCACATCATGACTGAAAAAGGACACATGTATGTGCTTTCATAGAACTGTTAATTGTGTAATTTGCTAATACTTATAATTGTTGTCCAAGAATGTGAGAATATTGCAGTAATTGTTCAATAAAAGAAAACAACATGCAACAAGGCTGATCAGACAATGTGGTAATAATGAATTTATATTGTAAAATGCTGTTTAAATGCTGTGATAGTTAACATACATGTGCTGTATGCACATGTATGTTAGGAGTATGTATAGGAGTTGAGCTGGGGTTGTGTCAGATTTGTTACCTTTTGTTTTAGATAATTGAAAGTCTCTTTTGCATCACATTAATTTTATTGTTTTCACACAAAGACCTTGAAATTCCAGTCATTATGTTACCTTAATTTTCTTTCTCTATACCTTTAACCTCTTCAAACCTTTTTTGATATTCAACTTGATCAATTAAAAAATCTATACATAACAATCCAGCTTAACCAAGACATTTGATTGTCAACTTTGTTCATGTAAAGCAAATTGTGGAGACAAAATATTTTCATGGTAATAAGGTCACTTGACTTCAAATACAGGACATATTTTCTATATCCTTGTTTATGCATGTCAAAATAATACCATATACATACCAGCAGCAGAGAATAATGAGGGCATGTGAGTGACAGCAGTGAGTGCAAGGTCAGTCATATTGTTTAATTACAAGACTATAAAACGTTTGATAAGCTGTATAACTCAAAACTTTGTGGAACGCATGTAGCTGTTAGCTTGTCCTAACAGCTTTTTGTTCACCTGAGTACACACTGAAGGAGCCGTCAGACTGGATTTCGCCAGATAAAATTTGCTCACATGGTACAGCGTTTAAACATAAACTGTGGGAGATAGTATGGATTGGGCTAACAACAGCAGTCTGTTAATCTCTGTCACTGCCCTTGCACTCGCTACAGCCAAACAGCATTCCTCCATCTCTGCTGCTTGTATTATTTCGCCATGCACTTATAAAATGAGAATGTACACAAGTTGTATTGTTAAATGAGAGGTCAAATACTAACCTGACTGCGCCAGATGATTTGCTATGCAGAACCAGCTGGGAAGTTGCTGTTGGAAACTGTTGAATTGCAATGAACCATAGAACATAGTTTAACTCTCACAAACACCACTTGGGAGAAGAGCTAAAAAAATCTTTGCTATCAAGAAAAACGTCTTTAGAAGCCAGCTATTGTTGTTGTTCACACCTCTAGATACCACGGCCACAGCTCATGCCGTAACTGCCAGTAGTTCCTCATGGGATGCTGATCGGTATTAGTGTTTCGGACACAAGTGCATATATAGTTTGACGCCTGGCAATACGGATTCTTGCATGAGATTTCATCTACCACACAAGGTCATTCAACCCCCCCCCCCTTGTCTCAAACTGGGTGTTCACTGGAGAGGCTCATGTTTTTCTGTGCCAAAATTTAATCCGATTATACTCTGTGTGAAGTGAAAAAGGCGTAGTCAATTAAAAAAACAAAATGTCTCACCCAGTTCTTCGAAATAGAAATAAATAAAAACTGGTCTGGTTGCATCTTAAGAAACTGGGAACCAAATCCACAGTCCCATGCTGTTCAAACAAAGCTAAAATAAGGCCTATGCTACCACCGCTTAGCAAAGGAAAAAAATCTTAAAAAAGGATTGTAACTTTAAAAGATTTCTACTTGATTTGGCTAACTCAGACTGCTGACGCCTTATATCAGCTTTAGCTGAACCTTTTCGTTTGGAACAAGGACTGTGGACTTTGTTCCCTATTTCTCGCGGTGTAGTCGCATAATGAAGGGAGCTCTTCAAGGCCAGTATAGAAAGAGGCAGTAATTGCAGCAACCTTTAAACGTACATATGGAATGTGAGTATTGGATGACATGAAATGGCCTGAACCTGTCCTTTATATGTTATTTATATATATATATATATGAGCAGAAAGGCAGCAGTAAAACTGGAGGTTGCATGTCCTGAGGTTTTATGTGTGTCTACATTATGAGAAAGGGAAGGAGTCAAACACTGTAAGAGCAAGTGTAAAAGGGAGAGAAAAAGAAAGAGTACTTTTCATCCATATGTTCAAAAGTCTGATAAGGTTTGTGGCAGACTGCGCCTCCTCCTGCCCTTCTCTCTCATCCTCAGCCAACTAATCATAAGACTGGACCCCTTTGATCCCACTGGCAGCCTGATACACTCAATGTGTGTGTTTGTGCGTGTTACAATAAAGTGTTTGTGTACGTGTGTGCATGTATACGTGGATACATGGTAAAAGTGTGTGTCCAGATCCATACAACGGGAACAGTGTGCGCAGTATGTATGTAGGTGTATGAGTATGTGGCTGCACAGGTTTGTATTGTGTGTATGTGTGTGTGTGTGGTCGTGGCCATGGCCACCTGCTGAGTTAAGCAGTCTAGCCACTCATGTTCCACTCCACCAGACTCACATCAATAATATTGGCTGAACTTTCTGCTTGCCTTACTGTACCTCATAAAAGTGTTAGCTATAAATGTGTATATTTATGACATTTTTACAAGACACAAAGAAGTATTTTATTTCTCCATTCTTTTTCTTGGACAGAGCACATTCCTTGGCCTTAAACTTAAGTCAAACTTATCCTTACTTTATTTCTTGTCTTCTGGTAATTTTATTTAAATAACTTTTTTCTCTCTAAATGTATTTATATGTCTACTTCAATAAGTGATAAATAGTTAGTATTGTCATTATTAGTAGTGGTATTAATAACTTTCTCCTTCCTCGTCCTTTCAGAGCGCCTGTCAGCAGGAGCTGGACAAGGTCTTAGAGGAGATCTCCAAAATGACCTCTGAGGATAACAGAGGCCCGCTGGAGAACCTGTACGGGCTCAAATTTCCAAACTGTGACAGACATGGACTGTACAACCTCAAACAGGTGAGCCATGGACAGATCACTGGTCTCCCATCCCACCATTTTACCTGAGCACACACTGTTTATTGAAAACATTGCAGCTGAATTCAAAGTTACTTACTTACTTTGGTAGTATCCTCTCATTAGAAGCTTCCAAACTTTAATAACTTTATGTACATGGCAACCTCATAATCGAAAAACATGGCAAACATAAAAAAAGGAAAGGTGTATATAGGGCACAAAATGAATGACATCCTGCCATGGCCAACACATTTGGTAAACACTTGCAGTTAGAAACTGAAGATTCATTGTTGTATCATTGTTGTAGATGTCTTCAATAAAAACAGTGTAAATAGGTAAAATCTTTTGACAGAGGGCTCTACAAGAAGCGATAGATCACATTGACTGGAAGGCAAAAGGGGCGGAAAAATATCCCCAAAATGGAGAGAATGTAACCAGTGCAGCCAAGTGAGACTGGAAAATATTTCACATAAAAACATCCAAAATCTAGTAAAGACAATATATGTCTCGTAGGAAAATGAGTTACAAGATGATGACAAAATGACTTAATGTCCAAACCCATATTGAGAACAGATTCATACTGAAGAAGCTGGTTTGCACACTCCTCACATCATATAACCCTTCTACCTTCTCAGTACCAGTGCACTTACAATGAGCAGCAGCTACAGGATTGGCATAGCCCATATGATGTCATCAATTTTGTGTGTACGTACCTTGTCTTTAGCCATTTGTCAAATGAAAACTGTGCAGTGGGCAAATTTCCTGGGGCCCCAGAACTCCAAGGCCGGAAGGTAATGCTTTATTACCACATCTTGAGGCCCTTGTCTTGAGCAGGTTTCCCTGTGTTTTATTATTAGTTATTATTAAGTATTATTATTGCTACAGTTACTGTTGTCGCTGCTCGCTGTCCCCCATCGTTACTGTTGTCATCGTCATCTCGCGCTCTTTTTCAATGATCGTCATCGATCATTACTATTAATGTAGTGCTGCTACTGTTGTTGCTGTACATCTGTCCTGTCTTCTCCTGTTTCTCTCCGTCTTCTCCCTGTCCGGTCTCTTCCCCCCACAGCTGGTCAAGTAGAATGAACCCACTAGACCGAAGGGTTGCCTAGGGTTCTGCCCTGTTAAAAGGCAGTTTTCCTTGCCCGTCGCAGTGCTGCTCATGGTGCTACTCGTTGGTCTCCTGTAAATGTTAAAAGGGTTTCGTCTAGAACCTGCTCTACTTGAAAACGTGTCTGAGATAACTCTATTAGATTGGCGCTATACAAATAAAATTGAATTGAATTGAATTGAATTGAATTGAATTGAATTTTAAGGGAAGAACAGGGACTAACAGGGGGCCCAGGAGCTCACCTTTTTCCGAGTGACTTTTAGCTGGTTAATCAGCCATGCCCACTTGGGTCAAAATGTTGCTGTTGTTTCTTCTTGGGGCTCATGCTCCTTCTCATTCATTCAAATTCCATTATTCATTCTAAGATGATGGTCATTTCATAATAACTTTTCACTGAACTAATTTAGCAGATTTTAAACATTCAGTTTACACTGGAATGCATGACAGGAAATGGCTGCAATCTATGGGTGGCAACCTTTAAAGAATGTCACAAGGCAAAACACCTGCTGTAACATCACTCATTAAGGTTTTGGTAAGGGTTGTGACATATAATATAATATCCATAGGTATGTTTTCATTAGTGTTTAACCACCTGAATATAGGAGTTGTTATGATTTTTTTAGCGTAGGATGATCTACAGACTCTGCGGGTCGCCTTTCATGTAGTCTTCCATGTTGAACTGCCATGTTTCTACAGTAGGGACAAACTAAACACTGGCTCTATATAGGGAATATTGCACGTTTTGCAGCCACTGTAGTTTCTGCATCACGTTTGGAGGGGGAGGGTGAAGTGACAGAGTTGTGATCAGCAACCGCACCGCTAGATGCCATTAAATCCTACACACTGAACCTTTAAAAATTGCTTCTTTTCCCACACATACACACTAGGGATGGTCAGATTCACCAATTTTCATTGGTGCACCGGGATTAAAATACAATGTTGGATGGACTCATCGGATGCATCGTTACATTCATAAAAGGTTATATTTAGATTGATTCCTCCTCTTTAAACTGTTTCTCAAGCTGCTTAAGGAGAATCAAATTAATAAAATCAAACTATCTGCACCATATTGAATTGCATAGCATCATATTATTTTCCATCACATCGCTAAATCACATTGTGTTGAATCAAGTCATGTCGAATTGAAGAACCACAACAGGGGTGAATTGTTTGTATTGTATTGGCAGTTGCTTCATATGTATCTCTAATGTATTGGCAATGCATCGAGATGCGTATCGGCCTCAGTGATGGAGATACACATCCCTAACAAACACGTTCTCACTCCCAACGCTTCAAATAGTGCCGCTAAGTGAGTGACCCTTCCTTCAAACTGTGATGTAGCCTAGTATAAAGAGCGAGAAAGTCTGTGTATGGAGGAGGTTGGAGTGAATGGATCGACTGACTTCGACTTTCACCCAGGAGACCGCTGTTTGTGTCCTGTATGAAACCAAAAGATACCTCACCTGCACATCTCAGCTTTATTTTGAAAGTCTAGACGTTGCACCATATTTAACTAACTGTGGAGCTCTGCACATACACATGCTAGAGGGTAACATAGAGCCAGCCAAGCTGCTGCATGTGACGAGCTGGGAGTGATGCTCACGTGTTGAACGTGTTGCTCATATATACTGTATCATTTTGTTTAGTTCCCCGTTCTCTTTCATACTCTCACTTACACACACACACACACACACACACTCCCTCACTCCCACCTGCCACCACTCTCCACACAACTACCCCCCTCACCCTTTTTTCTAAACTCACACACCCTCCTCTTCCTTAACACTCTCTGCTCTAACACACACACACACATGCATGCACACACACACAAATATGCGTGGAGATGTTGTCACCATGAATGAGGCAACAGCTTCTGAGCTCAAGGTTACAAGGCAATAAAACTGTTTGGCGTACTTCATGGGAAGACTTTTGTTAAGCGGAGGAACGAACTGTGCTTCCGACTGGGGGCTTGAATTTGAATTCTGCTTATCCATAGAAATCAGACAGAGGAGGACAAACAAGGTCACATATCCAGTGTTTTCTTACGAGGATAGTAGAGCAGAAAAGAAGATTTGAATAGGCGCCACAGTTTCCTAAAGCGGGGCTCTCAACCACTCAGCCAATTTTCATCACTGGTCACAAACAACAGCATTGTTTCGGACTGGAGTCCTTGGTTCCCAGGGAGGAACACTGTACCTCCTCAACACTCGGCTCCCTTTTGGAGTTGTCCCTCCTTGTCGCGGGGTAATTACTGTAACTGTCACTTTTTTTGTTCTTTCTCATCGAAGGAAGAAAATAGAAAGTCTTTTCTTTCCCCCCAGCTCTTCATTCTTTTCGCCGTCCCCTCCGCAGCCGCCCCGCGTGCGCGGCGTAAACTGTGTCCACTTCAATTACGACCTCATTTCTGAGTAGAGGGGGTCTCTGCGGGGGGGCCGGTCTACTGGCATGCCTCTCTGTGTGTGTGTGATCGCATGTGTTGCTGTGGATGGGTTGTGAGTAGGGGGCATGACCTGAGGATGGGTTGTTATTGGGTGAGTGTTGTCCCACCCAAACCATGTCCCTCACTCTCATCCAATGGCCCCCCGCCACCAGAAGATCCACAAGTACACATACACACACATACACACGCATCTCAAGCCACCATACGCCATGCTTCATTAACGCACCCCCAACTTCCCACTGTGCATCTTTACCCCTCCCTCTTTTTTCCAGTGTTTTCCAACTTGTCTAGTTCATGTTTTTCTTCCCTCTTTCCAGTGCAACATGTCCACCCACGGCCAGCGGGGCGAGTGCTGGTGCGTTGACCCCTTAACTGGGTTCCAGATTCCAGCGACGCCTAAAGTCAGAGGGGATCCCAACTGTAACCAGTTCCAGGAGGAGCAGAGACTGATGCCCACTGCAGCAGCGTCTTACTAGCACGGACTAGGACATGGTTTGGTTTGCCCAAGATTCCAAATCTGAAATGATTTTTCCATTAATATGATTCTCAAACAACATCTAAAGAAGTCTCTATACTTGAAGGCTTTGTCTTATTTTAAATTTACGCTAGGTTAAAGGTTAAAATGTAAACTAACTAAAGGATAAATTTGGTATTTTATTTTTCCTGTTGTCAACAAATCCCATGAAAAGCCCAAAACCAATGCTTCTCAGTGCTTTCTGACTTCCCTGTCTATTGGATTCAGACCTGAGCTCAAGTAATTTCCAATAAATATGTAAATCTTTAAAAAGGAGGCACAAATATGTAGTTTTATTATTTTTCTTAAAATTAATGTCCTGATACAGCAGTGGGCACTGTAGTTTTTAGCAAATTAGGACTCAAAATAAAGTAAATAGATCATTTGTTGGGGACTAGTTTAAGCTGTGGAATAATACATATTTGGCATGCTAGTAAATATTTATGGATTTGTGGCAGTAGGAGAGTTTATGTGGGACTCGAACTACAGTTCTGATTCTTATTGTAATGAAGAAACACGCCACCATGTGCAGTAATAGAGGAATAAGTTATATCAGGCTTTGGCTACACTGACAATACTTGAGCTTTTTACTGTTGCTTTCGGTCATTTTATTGAATTTGTTGACAATTCAAATATATATAAAATATTGGCAAAGCTGCAGTAATTGATTTGTTTGTTTAATTGATACTCATGTTAAATGTGGTGCTATGCTAATGACGGGGCAGGGATGCCACTGAACCTATACTTTATGCAGACAAGCCTTAAGTTTTCATGAGTTGAGGTAAAAGACTTACAGGTGCTCCATGAAATTCTTTGACATATCAAAGATATGTACGACTGTCTATAACCCTTTTGTGTAACCTTGTTTTCATGAGTAAATACTTTGCAAGCAGGTAATTAAAAGTTTTGTCACTGTCATACTTTTCATTGATTATATCCTGTAAAATTTCCCTGTTGATGCACCAACTTTGATTCCTACATTGTTAGCTGTAAATTAATTAAATTTAATCAAAATCTATTTTGCTCTGACATTCACTGAAAAAGAGTCTGAAGTTTAACTCCAAATGTAAAACTGACACCATCCAAGGGTTTCTATGAATCCACACCCATTGGTTGGCTGCAGAGAGCTGTTGTTGTTTGTCAGCAGTTTTTTTTTTGTCAACACTTGTCAACTCCAAATAAGTGTCACTAAAGAAAAATTGCACTTACGGTAATAATGCTGGAAACTGCTGTGTGGCATCACTATTACTATCACTGCTGTGTCTGCGGACATGCATGTGTGTGCATGAGCGTGGATGTGTGTGTGTGTGTGTGTGTGTTGCTGGGGTTACTAATGAAGTGTTGACATGAGGAGGGATTAGGATGGGGGGCTGACATTGACAAATGGGATGCTAAGTGGGTAAAGGTGTCTATGAATAAACCGACCCAAGTACGCAAATGCACGTAGAGAAACACACTTGCTCATGCACGCACATATTTGTGCTGCAGATCATGTTCTAAAGAGAGGTAACCAACATGAAGTCTTAACAGAGGGAGATAGGGGTGCTATTAATGAAAATGACAAAGCTGGATATTGGGACCATCATGACAATGTGACTTTGAACAGTATTATCTCACTTTTACAGGCTGTGCTGGAACAATTTTGCCATCCATGGGCTGCAAGTAATCCACTGTTATTGTCCCTTAGACAGCCAAGCCCATCATTATGAGTGATGGATGACATGGAATGCTTTTATCATGTTTCAAAAATGTATCTGTAATCCATTGCAGCCTATGTAAAAACACAGTAAATTGATTATTCAGCAAATACAGCATAATCAGAAAGTTGTGTTATATATTTTTATTAGACTACAATTATGGAGGTATTTGAAACGGCTTGCATGTGACTGAAAATAGTATAAAGTCAACCTTCTGACAGGTCAACGGGTCCTTGTTAATGTGATGATGACATTCTCATAAACCCCTGATAATAGCCTGAATGGACTCTAAACGCGTAATGCGACCTACAGAAAGGAGCCGATAATAAAAACATTAAACAAATAAATACACATGTGAATGCATCTTTCAGGTTAAACTGATGGACTTATATAGGATAATTCAGATTTAAGTCAACTTAAGTCAAAGTTGATGATCTCACATGCTATAAGTAAAATAGTTATTGGTCCCTCTAGTCATTCCCCCTCCCCATACTGTAATGAACTTCCCAGCAGGACTACACTTTCAGTTTCAGCTGAAGATATACGAAGCTACAGCAATTCCCCAAATTAAGGATATGTTTCAAATGTAAGTTCTTTTTAATACCAAGCTCATTCTGTGTTTCCATGGGCAATATTTCCTTGCTGAGCTGTGGCAGAGAGATACAGCCTAGCAGCCACATGTCATTTTTTTTTTTAAGGAAACAAGACCAGCAATAAACCTACGCTGGCAGATCAGAGATACCCACTCGATATGAGGAAGTAGCCTTAAAGTAGCTTCATCTGAACAAGGACTGTGGATCTTTTAGCATGCAGTCCCAGTAGGAAGGGATCATTTCACACATGTATATGAGGGGGAATGATTACAATGACCCATAACTCTTTAAACGTACGGCATGTGAGTATTGTATTAAGGCAGGCATATAAAAAGGTCTGTTAATCTCTTCTACATTGATTGAGACTGATCAAGATAATTATTTCCGTTAGAGTTCGCTCTGACTAATTGAGATTTCTGATTATACAGGCAACAGTTAGGCTGTATAACATATAAAAACTTTACATATGTCCGAAGAACATTTTATGTATGGCTGATATAGCAAACACTCGCAAAAGTCCCCAAATAAAAGTCACCACTGATTTGTGATCAAAATGATTCAAGACTTGGGTGTAAAGAAAGACGCCTTTGAACCTCTGGCCAAAAGTGTATCATATGAGACCACTCCTGACTGGCTTTGGTCTTGTAACCTTATACATGTGCCAGTGCGCCAGTTAGCTGAGCACCAGTCCCAGAAACGCTCTTTCAACTACAGCTTTACAGCTTTGTTCAGTTTTTGTGACACGCTGTTTTTTTATTTTTATTTCTTTTTATTTTGTCTTATTAATGCTGGGTTTTTGGCAGGGCGCTTGCTTTAAAAATTTGACAGCTTGGCTTGGTGTCACACATGGATCTCGGGCGTCCTCGGGTTGTTCAGCACATTTAATGGAAGCTGGCCTTTTCTGAAAACAAATCAAAACAAGTGTCTTTTGTTTTGGGTTTGATAGATCAGGCACAATGGGCTGAGGAGGGTAGTTTAGCAGTGGGAATAAGAGTGGGGGTGAGTATGTGTGTGCTTGCGTGATTGTCTCTGTGTGTGTATGTGGAAAAGCACATGTGCGTGTATTGGCCTAGAGAGCCGAAGATCTGCCCTACTTTCAGGCTACTATTTCTTTTGTTAGCATTCAACAACTTCCCTTGATATGTTGATGGTGGGTCTGTGTCTAAGACTCACGGAAGCTGTACTTGTTGAATGTTAACAAAATAATTGTTGTTTTATCTTCGTTAAAATGACACGGTGCTCCGATGTTCGCAGGAAGTACAACAGTGGAGGCGTTTATCTTTGAATATGGACAATGGAGCCAAGTATTATGTTTCAGCTTCATAGAAAGACTGATTAAAAAAAAAACCTCCATGCAAAAATATATTGTGTAACAGAGGCTTGTGGCACACAAGCAAACTCAGAGGTAGGGGAAGAATTCAGCTCTCCATAGTCAGAAAGTAACAGGGCTGGGAATCTGCATGGATGTGGTTATGTGCTTGCATATTTGCACTGTGCAAAAGGGGAAAGACTAGAGGAATATACTGAATATATAAAGAATATATATAACAAGCTAATATTGTGAACTTAATATGTGTTCATCTCGCCTAGATCCATGGCATGCTACGACTGATTCAAAGCTAAGGAAAATCTCAAAGGAAAACTTTATCATAGTAGCTCTGGCCATCGGTTATCTCAGTTTACACATTACATTCACTAATGAGTTGCTGGGATATCTAAGCACAGTGAAATCGCTAAAAGCTATTTGGACGGGTCAAGAACCATGAGTGCATACAATGGGGGCAAGAATGGAAGCTCAGATTTGAACCAGGAAGCTGTAATCTGTGATGGATGTTTACAGCAGACACTTTGGTTTGTCATATCATAGTTTGCCTTCATTTTCTCTTCCAAATAATTGCTCTAACCTGGGGGTTTGTTTACAACCAATATGACCACTTGTGTCTCTAGCCCAGTCAGACCTATCTTAGTTATTTAGTTGAATTTTTTACTAGATCATAGGTTAAATACAGGACTAAGGACCATGCCCTTGTCGTCCAATGCAGTGCACGGCAGCCACATTATAACTGTGCCTTAAAATGCTTTTATGGTTTGTAGGATGTCAAATCTTAATCTCAAAGTTGGTTTACTTAACATGCAGTTGTGGTTCTCACAGTCATATCCGATCCACACTGAAGAACCCTTCATTTGGGATTCCGGGTCTAAGTCCATCTTTGATGAAAGGGCTTGGATGGAAACTAGCAGACACTTGTCTGCCGTTGTCTACCACCACCAGCATTGGAGGATTCCGCTACTAAGTCATGTGATTTACTCCCAACCACTGTACATTCTTTCAAATCTCCTTTCATCTTCATCCTGGTGATGAAAAGAACCACCATTACCTCTTTAAGAGATAGCATTATACAAGAACACAAGCAGTGATTTGCAAAGATCCCAATTATGCAGTGTAAACATCTGCATGCCATTTGTTCGCTTATGTCTTTAAATGCCCCATCATCATTTCTAAAAGTCACATTTAATGATATGAGCCGCAGGCAAATCGATGCACAAACAAGTGAAAGCATCTCCAAAGCCACTGAATACGATATCACATCGCTGATCATTGATTTCATCACATTCACAATGCACAGAGGAAGAGTATGCAACGTTTGTGCAAAACTTTGAGGTTTGGGCACAGCAGTCTGACTGGGTTTGGGATGGAGTGAGGTGCGTGAGTTGATGTTAGACGTAGCTATCCAACGTTGTTGGCCTAATTATGTAATAAAAGGGGCATAAATGCTTTGAAGTCCTAAGTGCAGTTGTCAGTTTCTTTGAAGGCAAATAGTAATTGTCATGTTCACTGCCTCACAAATCAAATCTTCTACACATGTTTCCTCCTCCCCGAAGTCAAAGTCTGTGCCCTCCCTGCTACATGCACGCACGCACACAGACACACAGACACACACACACACACACACACACACACCACAACAACCTTTACGGCTGCCTTGATCTGCTCACTATACAGGAACTGCTGGGCCCTCCACCCTTTTATGCCCTGCTTCAGTCACCCACATCTGGAGTTGGTCAAAGTCCTGAGGTCCCCAGGGAAAGATTTTGGTGGACCCCAAAAAAGAAAAGTCCCATTCTGTCACTTCCTGGAGTCCATGAGGGAATGAAAATGACCAGACAGCCCGGAGATGCATTCACAGATCCTTAGATGAGTGTCTGTGCATGCAGAAACTGAAAACAAACTGCTGATATCATTGGCCTTGACTTATTTGTGTATTGAATCTTTATTTAACCAGGTGATATGTGCTGCGTAATGTTTTTTTTAAAAGAGCATTGTGACAAATACGTGGATTGCTTCACCTTAGACTTATGATAGTATAGTTCTTGCTATATTAACCAGACCTTCTACAGATCTGCCTATCATATTCTGTCCACACCTTGTGTCTTGTGTATGCACTTACTTTGAGCTGCATGTGTGTGTCTTTGTGAATGGGCGTGTCTCAGGGGAGTCCATTCTGCCTTTAAGTGGTAATAACAGTAGGTTTTCCATAACGATGAAACCTCCTTGAGGCTACAAATCCCTTCTTTGAATAGCTAGCTTGTCCCACTAGATGTTATCCCCCCTTGAAGTTCAAACTCATTTTAAATGACTTCCTTGTTCCTGTGCAATCTTTTTGACTATGGTGTTGAAAACCAGGTGACTTGCCCTCGGGCGAGGCTTTATAAAGTCACATCCTGCATGCAGCATGAGATCCTTGTGGGCTAGCCTGGGTGTCTCAGACTTATGTCTAAGAGGTTTATCAGCTCGTGCCTCGGAGATTAGTCAGTGCTTACTATCAGGATGATTCCACTTCCAACTGTACTTTTCAGGCCAATTCAGTGGCCACTTACTCCTCTTAAAAAGGCAACACTAGAAATGAAAACCTCACAGAGTGCTTAAATGAATACATAACTTTATTTAAATAAATGCTTTGTCATAACAAAAAAAGACAAAGGTTAAAAGAGTACATAAATTACAAGTTGAATAAATATTACACAGTGATATTCACTTTAATAATTTGAGATTTTTTGTCTTTTTATTTTCTTATTCGTCTTATGTAGTTCCAAATACTGACCATTTTATTTCCCACTATCCTCCTGCCACCGATGGGTCTATTTCACAAGCCAGTGAACACCAAATTTTGAAAACCAATTGCGTTGTCTCAATACATCCAGAAAGTGTTATGTACTCACAAAAAAGTTGTACTGTCGTTACTGTACTAGTGAAGTATGAAATGTGAATATGAGTTTAAACCCATTAGGAGATGTGAAACCTGAGGAACTCACTACTCGCAAACAGGTGTTGGGAACAGGAAGTCACTGACACTAGTTGAGACTTTTTTAAGCCTGAACCTCAACCTGCAACCCAAACAAAAGAAACAAATACCTGGTACACTGAAGTATTCACACACTTGATTGATCCAGGCAGTGAATGGTCTCAAATATCAGATATTTAATTTCTTGACCTAAGAGTATAAAATCCAAGTAAAACTTGATACTTCTGATTCCAGTATTGCATTCCCCAGATTTCCATAACTATCTTGCTAACTGTATCTAATGTCATGCAATTGGTGACCCCATATCGGGGATGTGGCTAGGCCCTGATTATGACCACTGCCCATGGCGCTCGCTCTTCCTCTTTCCTTACATCTCTTTTTCCCCCTCGCTATCTTAACTCTCATCTCTGTGCAATTGGCCATGAGAACATATCTAGCTGTGTGTTACTTTCAATCTATTATTCCCTAAAAGATGTTGCTGTATTGGAGGTCCCAGGCATGGGCTGCACAGCCCCTGTCAACAAATATTACCTCAAAGCACCACCTTTAAAAGGTAAGCACAAGATAACACAACATTTAGCTTTTGTGGCTGTTTTTTTTTTTTTTTAATTTTCGTTCCACTAACTTCATGATACCACATCTTAGGACGTCGTTGTGTGTCAATATCAATAGTGAGTAACTGAAATAAGTGCAAGCTGCTTTTTTTCGAAAGTGGTAGTGGGGATTTGGTGTTGGAAGTAGGGCAAGGAGCCTTGATAATATATTCACAACTGGAAGCCACTTAGGATGCACATATCATTTCTCTTTTGTTGCAGTGAAGGAAATGGGTTATTTACCTCCAAACATCCTTTGGCTTCCCCTCTCTGGCAATCATATACATTGGCATTCACATGAAAAAGCAAGAATCTTAGCTTATTGGTTGTCAAAGAAAGAGAAGAGGGGAGTGTAACTCACTGCAGTTACACAGCAGTTCCTCACTCTTGTCCAGAATTGCCCCCAGGTACAGGCGTAGATTACAAATAGATTTGCAATGCATTGCTGACACCATTTACAGGACCTACCATTCATTGTTCTTAAAAAGAACTAAACCTTGACCTCTTGATTGTTGTATAAACTATCTGCCCCGTTGGAGGGCTGTCTGGAAAGGAAATTGCCCCGTAATATATCCATGTCACTTTCACGTCACTTTTTAAATGTATTTGCATGTAGGAAGGCACTGTGACTTGCACACAGAGAGAGAACTAAATGACCCTGTTATAACCTGTAACCTTTTTGTTTTGATCATGCTCCCCTTAGATGTAAGTAGATAACCTTTTTATGGAGGCATGTAAGCAGAAGGGTTGCAGAGGGTTAGCTTTTTTGACTGCCCTGTCTTCAGATGACTGTGGGTCATTCTCCTGACAGGCTACAAGGACCTATTCAAATTCTTTACAGGCTAAAATCTTTTTTTTTCCCAAGCACAATTACATTGTTGTCATACTATGTTTCTACAGGAAAAACAACATTCAATAACTATATTTAAAAGTAATGTAATACACCATGGTTACACTGTAGTAGCAGTACTGAGGGGAAACCACTTGATAACGGAACATGGCTCAAAAGTGGGCGGTCTTTACTTCACTGAAGGCAAAGAAAACAGCACAAACAAAACCATACAAAACTACACTTCACACAACTGAATCAGAGAAGCAACTGGCCTGACTGGCAAGTTTGATTATGCACTCAACTCGAAAGATCAAAGTCAAACTTGAGTCCCATCATTTAAGCTGAAAACACTTGTCTTTATTTCACCGGTAGAGTCAGTGCTCTCTAAGCTCTGTGTCGCCCTGCATGGCAGTGTCTGTTTAAATAGGCACAGTTGGCATATCAGGCTAGCTTCATTGTCGAAGAGCCACTTACATAGGTTCATCTGTGACGATCTGCTTACTCTTTTGTTTCCAAACGCTACGTGTCCCGAGACATACATCGGTTATAGAGAAGGCCAGCCCCAAGACCACTTCAAGCGCTAGCAATACTTGTTGTGACAAAATCAAACAAAAGAGAAAGAAAAAAGGACATTCTTTTTTTGTAATAGGCTCACTCCATCATTCACCAACATAGGCTGATACATACCACACACTCGCACTGTACACATACACGCATTCATGCACGCATCATTTTGTGAAGTTACACATATCTAAGCAGGCTCCCCTATTCATAAGTGCTCTGACAGAACCACATACCCAGATAGAGTCAACTGTTACAGCATATCCCTATCTATTGTTTCTTTTTTTTTCTTTTGGAAAATAGACAAAGAAAAACCAAATTACTCTGCCAATCGTCAGTTCCACAGTGGCATGTTCCACACGGAAAAAAGATCTGTTTTCAATCAATGTGCCTGATATTCTTTTTCTTCACAATGATTTTATGTTAATTTTACATCATACAAAGTGTTGTATTGAAACCCCGAGCTTCTATAAAAATATATCCGTTGAGTGCATATATTTTCATGGATCTGCAGCCAGTGGACCTGCCTCATACAAGGGGTCCCATGAGCAACAGTCAAGGGATCTAGTAAATCTTCTGGGACTTTTCCCCTCATTTGGAGATGAGTGCTTGGTCAACAACAGAAAAAGAAAAGAAAAAAAATTACAGGTGTCTTTTTTCAGCCTGTTCTTTTGTTTGGATTTTTTTCTTCCATTTTTTTTTTCAATTTGAAAAAACAAAACTCTTGAAGTGAACGGTAGGCGGAGCATACAGGTGTGATTCAGAGAGGAGGCGTGGGCCCTGGGTCACGTGTTGGTTAGGGGTGGGG